TCCCAAAAGGAATCCACAGGGAAATAGCAGTTAGGCTATATAGACTACGTCTAGGTTACAGATGCAACTGGGAGATTGGTGAACCCCGACAGAGAGAGTGCATCTTCTGCCAAACTGTCACAGAAAAGCCATTACTTCACTATCTTCTGGAATGTGAAGCAACCAATGACCTTAGAAGAGCTTTAAGAGTTCCTGAATCATGCAGTGGCCACCCTGAAGCCATCAACACAGCCACTCTCCTGGTCAACAAAGGTGTCCAGCAGCTGGACACCCTCATAAAGACTGTGAAGCAGTATCCTCCCCCACGATAACAGCTTGATGGTTAAATGCAACCTCAGAACACTGAAAAAAAAAAAAAAAAAAAAAAAAAAAAAATAATAATTACGGGAGACATCTCCCGTCACGCAGGGTGCAGTCGCACCTCCACAAATCTCCAGTATCAGCTCTTGATACTGGTAATGGCTCAAAAGGGCCACCACTTACGGGCTATTCATGCCCGTGCCACCTTTTGGGTGGCTTAATCTTTATCAATCAATCAATCGACAGAACACCACCATTTAGTCACCACTTGGTCCGGGAGACATCTCCCGTCACGCAGGGTGCAGTTGCACCTCCACAGATCTCCAGTATCAGCTCTTGATACTGGTAATGGCTCAAAAGGGCCACCACTTACGGGCTATTCATGCCCGTGCCACCTTTTCGATGGTTTAATCGTCATCTTGGACACATTCATGGGAGACATCTCCCGTCACGCTGAGTGCACTTGCACCTCCACAGATCTCCAGTATCAGCTCTTGATACTGGTGATGGCTCGAAAGGGCCACCACTTACGAGCTATTCATGCCCGTGCCATCTTTTGGGTGGCTTCATCTTCATCTTCTTCATCTGTTTAAAACACGGGAGACATCTCCCGTCACGCTGGGTGCAGTCGCACCTCCACAGATCTCCAGTATCATCTATTGATACTGGTGATGGCTCAAAAGGGCCACCACTTACCAATTCATGCCCGTGCCACCTATTGGGTGGCTTCATCTTCATCTTAACACATTCACAAGGGAGACATCTCCCATCATGCAGGGTGCATTCGCACCTCCACAGATCTCCAGTATCAGCTCTTGATACTGGTAATGGCTTAAAATGGCCACCACTTACGGGCTATTCATGCCCGTGCCACCTTTTGGGTGGCTTAATCTTCATCATCATCATCATCGACAGAACACCACCATCTGGTCACCATTTGGTCCGGGAGACATCTCCCGTCACGCAGGGTGCAGTCGCACCTCCACAGATCTCCAGTATCATCTATTGATACTGGTGATGGCTCAAAAGGGCCACCACTTACGAGCTATTCATGCCTGTGCCACCTTTTGGGTGGCTTAATCTTCATCTTAACACATTCACAAGGGAGACCGTCATGCAGGGTGCATTCGCACCTCCACAGATCTCCAGTATCAGCTCCTGATACTGGTAATGGCTTAAAATGGCCACCACTTACGGGCTATTTATGCCCGTGCCACCTTTTGGGTTGTTTCATCTTCATCTTAACACATTCATAAGGGAGACATCTCCCGTCATGCAGGGTGCATTCGCACCTCCACAGATCTCCAGTATCAGCTCTTGATACTGGTAATGGCTTAAAATGGCCACCACTTACGAGCTATTCATGCCTGTGCCACCTTTTGGGTGGCTTCATCTTCATCTTAACACATTCATAAGGGAGACATCTCCCGTCATGCAGGGTGCATTCGCACCTCCACAGATCTCCAGTATCTGCTCTTGATACTGGTAATGGCTTAAAAATGCCACCACTTACGGGCTATTCATGCCCGTGCCACCTTTTGGGTGGCTTAATCTTCATCAATCAATCAATCAACCTTTCATTCACGGGAGACATCTCCCGTCACACAGGGTGCAGTCGCACCTCCACAGATCTCCAGTATCAGCTCTTGATACTGGTAATGGCTCAAAAGGGCCACCACTTACGGGCTATTCATGCCCGTGCCACCTTTTGGGTGGCTTAATCTTTACCAACCACCTTTACCAACCGACAGAACACGAAACAATGGGTATTGAATGGAAGTGATTGTAGAAAGCCTATTGGTCCATATTTCTTGATGCTTCTATATTGGAGCGGTGTTTTGAGGTGGGTAGAATATAGTTGTGCATTAATTGGCTGTTGATTGCTGGTGTTGACTTTTTAATGTGTAGTGCCTCGCAAACGTCAAGCCGCCTGCTATCGCTGTATCTATCGATGATTTCTGTGTTGTTTACTAGGATTTCTCTGGCGATGGTTTGGTTGTGGGAAGAGATTATATGTTCCTTAATGGAGCCCTGTTGCTTATGCATCGTTAAACGCCTAGAAAGAGATGTTGTTGTCTTGCCTATATACTGGGTTTTTTGGAGCTTACAGTCCCCAAGAGGGCATTTGAAGGCATAGACGACGTTGGTCTCTTTTAAAGCGTTCTGCTTTGTGTCTGGAGAGTTTCTCATGAGTAGGCTGGCCGTTTTTCTGGTTTTATAGTAAATCGTCAGTTGTATTCTCTGATTTTTGTCTGTAGGGATAACGTTTCTATTAACATTATCTTTCAGGACCCTTTCCTCCGTTTTATGAGCTGTGGAAAAGAAGTTCCTGTAAAATAGTCTAATAGGGGGTATAGGTGTTGTGTTAGTTGTCTCTTCAGAGGTTGCATGGCTTTTCACTTTCCTTCTTATGATGTCTTCGACGAAACCATTGGAGAAGCCGTTGTTGACTAGGACCTGCCTTACCCTACAGAGTTCTTCGTCGACTTGCTTCCATTCTGAGCTGTGGCTGAGAGCACGGTCGACATATGCGTTAACAACACTCCTTTTGTACCTGTCTGGGCAGTCGCTCTTGGCATCTAGGCACATTCCTATGTTCGTTTCCTTAGTGTAGACTGCAGTGTGGAAACCTCCGCTCTTTTCCATGACTGTTACATCTAGAAAGGGCAGCTTCCCATCCTTTTCCATCTCGTAAGTGAAACGCAGCACGGAACTCTGCTCAAACGCCTCCTTCAGCTCCTGCAGATGTCTGACATCAGGTACCTGTGTAAAAATGTCGTCAACATACCTGCAGTATATGGCCGGTTTCAAGTTCATGTCGACTAAGACTTTTTGCTCGATGGTACCCATGTAGAAGTTTGCAAACAGGATACCTAGGGGAGAACCCATGGCGACCCCATCTACTTGCTTATACATGTGCCCATCCGGGCTCAAGAAGGGTGCCTCTTTAGTACAAGCTTGGAGTAGTTTCCTTAAAATATTTTCTGGTATGTCAAGAGGAGTACAGGCTGGATCACGATACACTCTGTCGGCTATCATCCCGATTGTCTCGTCCACAGGTAAGTTGGTGAACAGTGATTCTACGTCCAACGAGGCTCTTATCCCTGTGGCCCGTGTGCCCCGCAGTAAGTCAACAAATTCCTTTGGAGACTTCAGGCTGAAGGCGCAAGGGACATAAGGAGCCAGCAGGCCGTTGAGTCGCTTCGCCAGTCTGTACGTGGGTGTGGGTATCTGGCTAATGATTGGCCGAAGTGGGTTTCCAGGCTTGTGTGTCTTGACATTTCCATACGCATATCCAGGTTTATATTTCGCCATGCAACCTCTGAAGAGACAACTAACACAACACCTATACCCCCTATTAGACTATTTTACAGGAACTTCTTTTTCTCCATCGACACTGTTGTGGAAGTAGATGAAGTGGTTAATTATCCAACAGATTTTTTTAATTCACTCGATCTGCCAGGGATACCATCACACGTACGTCAATTGAAAATCAGCTTGCCAATAATCATGTTGTGAAATATCAACCAGCCAAAACTTTGCAACGCCACGCGCCTTGCTCTAAAAAAATTAATCAGCGACGTCGTAGAAGCAACAGTCTGACAGGACCTTTCAAAGGGGAAGATGTCCTCATTCCTCGCATTTCTATGATTCCAACAGATATGCCAATTCAATTTAAGAGATTGTAATTTCCAATTCGATTGGCGTTTGCAATCACCATCAACAAAGCTCAGGGCCAGTCTTTAGAATTGTGCAGTTTATATCTAGATACGGATTGCTTCTCACGTGGACAATTATATGTTGAGTGTTCTAGAGTCGGCAAACCAGACAATCTCTATATCTCCACAGACAATGGAACAACAAAAAATATTGTATACCCACAAGCATTGTGAAAGTAAACATTAGAAACCTGCGCTTTCTCTTTTCTTTCTTTCCCATTTAACCAGACTGAGCCACAGCAACGCGTGGCGGGTACTGCTAGTATAATTTAAAATACATTGAGGAACTTGGGGGTATTAACTGAGAATTTGAATTAAAATTGTTTTAAATGAAATTAAATTGTTTTATTGGTATGTTGAAAAAGCAAGAACGTCACAATAACTGTGATTAAGTCCCCACAAACATTGACTGGTTTAGAACACAACAAGCAGACAACGTTCAATGAGGCTTCTAAGCCAGCAGTCAGCTTAGCAAGAAAGATCGAACCAGGTGCTCCAAGGGACCCACCACCTGAGCCCACTGGTATGTGTGAAAACAGCACATATAGCACCTAACACCACACAGGGCCCACCACCTCACAAGGCCTACCACCACACAAGGCCCACCACCACACAAGGCCCACCACCACACTTTTTTTATTTTGTTTTGGTGTAAGTATTAAATAGAAAATGGAAGATAAAATTGTGGTATAGGCAACTGATACACAATTTAAGATCTTAGTTATATTTTAATTAGTTTTCCAGCAAATCCAATGTTATTGGTTTCTTGAAGATGTTGATTTCTTGCATGTGTTGGTTCCTTGCATCTGCTTCATTCTTGCATTGTTGGTTTCTTTCAGATGTATTTACTGCACAAAAGATGACGGTATTCATCTAACAGAGTTCACATGTTGATGCCTAATATACATTCCGACAATTTGCATATTTTAACAGCGAGTGTATGGTCTTTTTCATATGCTAATGCACTTAGCCTATCCTATGTTGACATCTTGGATATTTTGTCATTTTATGGTTTACAATTGTTTATCGCTTACACATCTTTCTCATTATATTGTCACATATATACAGGTGTCTTGCATATGTTGATATCACTGGTGTGCTACTGTCTTCTGTAAGTAGGCGACTCATCTTATGCACATGTTTGTCTAATGTGTTTTCTGGAAAGCTATAAAGCTTATGAGATTTGTTTTCTATTTAGAAAATGATCATATTACGTAATAAATAATTTGTAATAGCCTTTAGCAATATTTTATTTTATTGATAACTTTTTCACATAAAATAATCGTTTTAATACAAAAACAGTGACATTTAATCCATTAAATTTAAACTGGTAAATTTAGATCTTTTATTAATATATCTAAGTTATATTTCCTATCTCTTAAGTTACCACAACTAATGAAGTAAATTTTAATTTAATCTTTGTTTAATATTTTTCATAATAGGCCGTATTTTCTTCTTTGTTGTAAATTGATTGTGGGTGAACTAATTAATTTCTAAACATTATAATTATATATTTTTTCAGCTGTTGCTTAAATAAAAATAATCATTAGAGAAAATTATGAACTCTTATCAAGGATGACTGTAATGTTTTGATCTTAACTTCTTGAGATGGTGCAGCGGTCTTAGGCTGTCGACATGGTCTTGCAGTAAGACCTGTCCTGGATGACTACTTCAGGAGATGGTGTGGTGGTCTTACATAGTCGACGTGGTCTTGCAGTAAGACCTGTCCTGGATGACTACTTCAGGAGATGGTGTGGTGGTCTTACATAGTCGACGTGGTCTTGCAGTAAGACCTGTCCTGGATGACTACTGCAGGAGATGGTGTGGTGGTCTTACATAGTCTACGTGGTCTTGCAGTAAGACCTGTCCTGGATGACTACTTCAGGAGATGGTGTGGTAAGGTCTTACTACTTAGTCTACGTGGTCTTGCAGTAAGACCTGTCCTGGATGACTACTGCAGGAGATGGTGTGGTGGTCTAGCAGTAAGACCTGTCTTGGATGCCCTGGATGCTCTGCCGTCACCGTCATCACCCCCTGTTAGGTACAAGTAACTGTATGAGACAAAGAACACAGATGAATGGTTCAGATAAAGTTGAAAAGGTAGTTTATATGTGGGTGATACAAGGACGTGGACCCGGATGCTACTGGGGAAGTTAGTTTTACTTTGTTGCAAATTGGAACAATTATGTGGATTGTTTAACTGCATAAAATACTCTTTAAACCATATTACTGGAAATTTTCTGGAAGCCTGCTACCTTTTTCCTATAGTACTATTTCCCTATTTTAGAATTTCCATTTTCTCATCCATACTACGTTATTTTTCTTTCCCAATAATCTTCATCTTCATTTTACTCCATCTTTATTTTATAATTTTACTGTTGCACAACTTTATCTTTATTACATATTAAATTCACCCACTCTCATTACTTTGACTATCCTCATTTTCCATAATTTTATTGGGTTGAGAATTGCACTTTAGTAAATATATTTCTCACTAACGGAATAAGTGACTTAATTTAACATACCTGAATGTACCGACTCGTTATCATTAGTGGTGTTCCTTACTCTTATCGTGCTTGGCTGGGGTGGGATGGTTTGCTGGTTGAGGTTGATGATGGGTAGTGTGGCGATGGCAGTGAGGGTTGTGGTGGTGGACGGTGGTTGTTGGGGCATTGGTGGTTTTTGGGGCACTGGTGGTTGTTGGGGCATTGGTGGTTGTAGTGCAGGTTGCAGCCACAATGCCAGTATTGTTCCATTTGCAGTTCGTCAGACACACCATTTCTGTGCAGTTCTCGGATCTGGAGGAAAAAATATATATTTTCAAATGTTGAAAATCTTCCCCCAGGCTCACTCGGTGCACTGTAAAGAGGATTATAAAAGTATCAAGACCTTACAAGACGGCTTCAGTATGATGAGTGTAGCTGGAAGGTCATCAGAAACTTAAAAATGATGAGTCCTGATGGGTCACCAAGGTGGTTTTACAAAGTTCTCCTTCGGGACCGTTGTGACTCCCACGAAAACAAAATAATGCAAATTAGCACAGCAAGAATTCTGGTAACAGGGACATCAGGGTGAAAGAAATTTGTTTCTTTCCAAAATTTGGTGCCCATTTGTTTCTGCCAGCCCAGGGAATCGAATCCCGGTCCACAAGTCTACGTATCAAGCATGCTGTCCACTCAGTCACCGGCTCCAGAAAAAAGTGTGTGTGTAATTACCTAAGTGTAGCTACAGGATGAGAGCTACGCTCGTGGTGTCCCGTCTACCCAACACTCTTTGTCATATAACGCCTTGAAACTTTGAAACTGTACTCACCTAGTTGTGCTTGCGGGGGTTGAGCTCTGGCTCTTTGGTCCAGCCTTTCAACCGTCAATCAACAGGTGTACAGATTCCTGAGCCTATTGGGCTCTATCATATCTACACTTGAAACTGTGTATGGAGTCAGCTTCCACCACATCACTTCCTAATGCATTCCATTTGTCAACCACTCTGACACTAAAAAAGTTCTTTCTAATATCTCTGTGGCTCATTTGGGCGCTCAGTTTCCACCTGTGTCCCCTTGTGCGTGTGCCCCTTGTGTTAAATAGCCTGTCTTTATCTACCCTATCAATTCCCTTGAGAATTTTGAATGTGGTGATCATGTCCCCCCTAATTCATCTGTCTTCCAGCGAAGTGAGGTTTAATTCCCGTAGTCTCTCCTCGTAGCTCATACCTCTCAGCTCGGGTACTAGTCTGGTGGCAAATCTTTGAACCTTTTCCAGTTTAGTCTTATGCTTGACTAGATATGGACTCCATGCTGGAGCCGCATACTCCAGGATTGGACTGACATATGTGGTATATAATGTTCTGAAAGATTCCTTACACAAGTTTCTAAAGGCCGTTCTTATGTTAGGCAACCTGGCATATGCCGCTGATGTTATTCTCTTGATATGAGCTTCAGGGGACGGGGACAGGTCTGGCGTGATATCAACCTCCAGTTGTTTCTCTCTATATGTATATATGTGTATATATGTATATATATATATATATATATATATATATATATATATATATATATATATATATATATATATATATATATATATATATATATAATATATGGACTAGCAATCGGTACGGTCTAGAGGTAGATGGTGGATGACTGATCCAGAGACTGATTTGAGATGTAAGGAGGATATGTGACAAAGGGCAAGATTCCTTGCTCAGTTCTGGCAGGCACTCACCTGACGGCCCCCAGGCTGTAGTTGGTGTTACCAAACGAACACATGTTGTCCAACTTGGCTGAGAAGGAGAAAAACAGAGGTTAAGTGGGTTAGGTTCAAACACTTCTGGCTAAGCAAAATCACTTAAAATTTGATGCCCAAAATGCCTTACGTACTTGTGGCTTCATTACGTATACATTTTATGTAACAAATATTCCACTACTGTTCCATATTCTTATATTATGTTACTATTATGTTTAATAGATCGTGAAAACGGGCCGATTGATAAGGTTTCAAGCCGTGCTTCAATGTAATTGTAGCCGGGCAATTGTTGGGACCCATAACCTCGGAGAAGGATATAATGGGCCTTCAGAGAAAATCTTGTAATGTGATTCGAAATTCTTATTTCCCTTCTCCAACGAAAACTTTTTATTTTTATTGTTGTTGAAATTATTATTATTATAATAATAATTATTATTATTATTGAGAAAATATATTAAATCTAAACAGAGGAATCGAACTTGAACCATACCTTGAGGTGTTTTCAGGGCTTAGCGTCCCCACGGCCTGGTCGTCGATGAGGCCTCCAGGTTGCTAAATTGGTTGATCAGGCTGTTGGACGCGGCTGCTCGCAGCCTGACGTATGAGTCACAACCTGGTTGATCAGGTATCCTTTGGAGGTATTTGTCAAGTTCTTTCTTAAACACTGTGAGGGGGTTGGCCAGTTATGCCCCTTATGTGTAGTGGAAGCGTGTTGAACAGTCTCGGGCCTCTGGTGCCCGAGTGGATGCTACTCAGAACATTCTTTACCTGCTTACCTGTTTGATGGGTTTCCGGGAGTACTTCTACTCCCCAAGCCCGGCTCGAGACCAGGCTTGACTTGTGAGAGCTTGGTCCAACAGGCTTTCGCTTGGAGCGGCCCGCAGGCCGACATATCCACCACCAGCACTCTTTGAAGATGTCCACTGGTGTTCCGGCAATATTTCTCATACTTGCTGGGAGTGTGTTGAACAACCGTGGATCTCTGATGTTTATACAGTGTTCTCTGAATGTGCATATGACATCCCTGCTCTTCACTGGTTCTATTTTGTGTTTTCTTCTATTTCGTTCACTCCAGTAAGTTGTTATTTTGCTGTATAGATTTCGGACCTGGCCCTCCAGTATTTTCCAGGTGTATATTATTTGATATCTCTCTCGTCTCCTTTCTAGCGAGTACATTTGGAGAGCTTTGAGACGATCCTAATAATTTAGGTGCTTTATCGCGTCTACATTCTCTGTATTCCCTCTACTTCAGCAATCTCTCCTGCTCTGTAGGGAAGTGAGTACTGAGCAGTACTCAAGACGGAACAGCACAAGTGATTTGAAGAGTACAACCATTGTGATGGGATCCCTGGATTTTAAAGTTTTCGTAATCCATCCTATCATTTTTCTGGCTGACGCAATATTTGATTGGTTATGCTCCTTAAACGTTAGGTCGTCAGACATTATTATTCCCAAATCCTTTACATGCTGTTTTCCTACTATGGGTACATTTGATTGTTTTTTGTACCCTGTATTATGTTTAAGGTCTAAATTTTTACCGTACCTGAGTACCTGGAATTTATCACTGTTAAACATCATGTTACTTTCTGCTGCTCAGTCTAAAACTTTTTATTATGTTTGTAGTTTTTCAATGTCTTCAGTAGAGGTAATTTTCATGCTGATTTTTGTCATCTGCAAAGGATGATACAATGCTGTGACTTATATTTTCGTCTATATCTGATATGAGAATAAAGAAAATCAGTGGTGCAAGGGTATACCACATCTGCATTCTGTTTTTCTTGTAATGCGTCAGTGATTTTGTCGAAGTGGTCAAGTAGCTGTGAGAGGCATGATCTTCCCGCTCTAAATCCATGTTGGCCTGGGTTGTGGAGGTCATTGGTCTCCATGAAACTGGTAACTTGACTCCTGATCACTCTCTCACATACGTTTATTATGTGGGGCGTTAGTGCAACTGGTCTATAATTCTTTGCCAATGCTGTGCTCCCTCCCTTGTGTAGAGGGGTTATGTCTACTGATTTAAGCTCATCTGGTATCTTCCCCGTGTCCAAGCTCTTCCTCCACACTATACTGAGTGCCTTTGCTACTGGCACTTTGCATTTCTTTATAAATATTGAATTCCATGAGTCTGGACCCGGGACTGAGTTCATTTGCATGTTGTCAATTTATCATTCAAAATCTGCCACACTCGTGTTGATATCATTTATATATACAGGTGTTTGGATATCACACATAAAAAAGTTGTCCGGATCTTCCACCTTCATGTTGTTTATTGGAGTGCTAAACATGTCCTCATACTCTTTTTTAGGATTTCACTAATTTCTTTGTCATCCTCAGTGTATGAACTTTCACTTGTACGAATAGGTCCAATACTGATAGTAGTTTTGTTTTTTTCTTTCGAAATATTATGTTAACATGACAATAGAAATGTAATAATACAACAATTTAAGATTATCATTCTAAAGCCTTGTGGCTGTGTAAACACAATTGGGTTATTTACCTTGAATAAGAGCAGCATTTACACTGAAACCTTGAGAGATCATAATCTGAAGCGCTGTCCTTCCTGTTGGCAAAAATACCAAAGACATTCTGTTATATATAGTTACTTATGTATACATATATATATATATATATATATATATATATATATATATATATATATATATATATATATATATATATATCAAATCAAATCTATAAGAATAAAAGAACAAGGAACAAATCTATATATATAAAATAGAATGTGTATCTGTGTGTCAAGGGTTGGAGGCCAGACACTGGCTAGCCTCACCCAGCTTTCCAAGATGCTTAAAAAAAATATTGGTATTTACAGAGATACCACGTGTGATTGAAATGAAGTCTGAAATATTTGTTGTGTTTCCATAGTTATTTTCCATTATAGTCCCACTCCATAGTTATTATTTGTTGTGTTCCCATAGAGTTGTTCAGCAGTTACAGTTCTTCGTAATAATAAATGTTATGAGGAGGGAGAGAGTGGGAAGAGGAGGTGACGAGGCAAACCTCGGTTAACCCTTCCACTATTGAATAAACAAAAGCGTAACTTCCAGTATTGAATAAACAAAAGCGTAACTTCCAGTATTGAATAAACAAAAGCGTAACTTCCAGTATTGAATAAACAAAAGCGTAACTTCCACTATTGAATAAACAAAAGCGTAACTTCCAGTATTGAATAAACAAAAGCGTAACTTCCAGTATTGAATAAACAAAAGCGTAACTTCCACTATTGAATAAACAAAAGCGTAACTTCCAGTATTGAATAAACAAAAGCGTAACTTCCAGTATTGAATAAACAAAAGCGTAACTCACCATTATTGTCTGTGAGTGTGAGGTCAGGGCAGTAGGCCAAAAGTTCGGGGAGTGCTGATGCCCCATCAAATACCGCAGACATAGCTGCAGTCGACCCTAAATTATAAGAAAAATTATCACATATAATCATTAATATTTTAATTGTTTAATTTCCTCTATCGCTGGTAAAAATATTTATTTCACAATAATGCTATAATAAACATTGGCTCTCAAATATATTATATTGCTTAAGCATAGTATGTGACATTTATAATATTTAAATATTTTGTATTCGCTGTGAACTGTTGGCAAATATTGGCTGTAACTAAGCGTTTTCTTATAGATATAACTGAAACTGAAAATTTATATTTCACCCGATGCGTCCTGGATGTTAATGTTGGCTCCGGCAGACACCAGGAGGTCCACGGAAACACTGGTCCCATAGTAAAAACTATACAAGAGTGGTGTGACTCCTGCAATACAAACAATACTACAGTAACCTTCTGCAGCAGTATACAATAATGCTGTGTTACTTGTAAGATAAGGTTGCTGCAGTTACCTTACGAAGTAGTGGGCTTATAACACAAATAACGGAATTACAGATATGAGTAAGGAAAAGTACATATATGGGACTGTGTGAAGCTTGCCCAGAGAGGTGCGGGCCGGGATATTGTTGATGAATTATAGGCCTACTAGTGAATGTTGTCTGAAGGTATATAGGCCTACCAGTGAATGTTGTCTGAAGGTATATAGGCCTACTAGTGAATGTTGTCTGAAGGTATATAGGCCTACCAGTGAATGTTGTCTGAAGGTATATAGGCCTACCAGTGAATGTTGTCTGAAGGTATATAGGCCTACCAGTGAATGTTGTCTGAAGGTATATAGGCCTACCAGTGAATGTTGTCTGAAGGTATATAGGCCTACCAGTGAATGTTGTCTGAAGGTATATAGGCCTACCAGTGAATGTTGTCTGAAGGTATATAGGCCTACCAGTGAATGTTGTCTGAAGGTATATAGGCCTACCAGTGAATGTTGTCTGAAGGTATATAGGCCTACCAGTGAATGTTGTCTGAAGGTATATAGGCCTACCAGTGAATGTTGTCTGAAGGTATATAGGCCTACCAGTGAATGTTGTCTGAAGGTATATAGGCCTACCAGTGAATGTTGTCTGAAGGTATATAGGCCTACCAGTGAATGTTGTCTGAAGGTATATAGGCCTACCAGTGAATGTTGTCTGAAGGTATATAGGCCTACCAGTGAATGTTGTCTGAAGGTATATAGGCCTACCAGTGAATGTTGTCTGAAGGTATATAGGCCTACCAGTGAATGTTGTCTGAAGGTATATAGGCCTACCAGTGAATGTTGTCTGAAGGTATATAGGCCTACCAGTGAATGTTGTCTGAAGGTATATAGGCCTATCAGTGAATGTTGTCTGAAGGTATATAGGCCTACCAGTGAATGTTGTCTGAAGGTATATAGGCCTACCAGTGAATGTTGTCTGAAGGTATATAGGCCTACCAGTGAATGTTGTCTGAAGGTATATAGGCCTACCAGTGAATGTTGTCTGAAGGTATATAGGCCTATCAGTGAATGTTGTCTGAAGGTATATAGGCCTACCAGTGAATGTTGTCTGAAGGTATATAGGCCTACCAGTGAATGTTGTCTGAAGGTATATAGGCCTACCAGTGAATGTTGTCTGAAGGTATATAGGCCTACCAGTGAATGTTGTCTGAAGGTATATAGGCCTACCAGTGAATGTTTTCTGAAGGTATATAGGCCTACTAGTGAATGTTGTTTGAAGGTATATAGGCCTACCAGTGAATGTTGTCTAAAGGCACATAGGCCTACCAATGAATGTTGTCAGAAGGCACATACGCCTACAAGTGAATGTTATGTGAAGGTATATAGGCCTTCCAGTGAATGTGTGAAGGCATAAAGGCCTACAGTGAATGTTATGTGAAGGAATATAGGCCTACAAGTGTATGTTATGTGAAGGCATATAGGCCTACAAGTATGTGCTATGTGAAGGCATATAGGCCTACATTGAATGTTATGTCACGACATATACGACTACAAGTGAATGTTATGTGAAAGCATAATGCCATATCAGTGAATGTTGTGTAGATGGTTATAGGCTTGCCAGTGAATGTTAGTTTTAACTTATACAAACTATACAAAAGCATGAAATTACACTTTTTCAAATAATTACATTGACAAATATTTTATAGAAAACTGAAGAGGATTCAATCCTCTCGGCAACACATGAAGTTGCAAATATTCATTTACGATTTATATACATTAGATATGCACAGACAAAACAAAAACTTATAAACATAGTTTACCATCATTATCTGCGAGGTTCACATTCGCTCCAGCCTTTATCAGGAGCGGGACTGCGCTCTCACACATTACAACAGCCTCGCATAATACAGACGCTCCTGCAATATAAATATCATCCTGGTTACTTCATTAAGCATTCCCGGCAGAATAAAACCCAGAGTTGACTATAATGAAACACCTAGGGCGCGGGCCCTAAGCCAGAGGCTTAGGGCCAGTGCAGGAATATCCCTGCAAAAAAAAAAAGTTCAGTAAGAATCCACAAGGACTTCTCTGAATACTCTTTATTTTCTTCTTCGAGAGTATGGGTCCCTACAATTGAATCATAAGTTGTACCACTGTATATAGATGGGGGTAAAAAGACGTAGGCTTTCTATCCTGATAACTATTCCTCAACATACAATAAAACCATAGCCCTATTGGACTAATGTGGGTGTTCTGCTCACGAACTCCCGTGAGCATCCACGTACACCTATGTACATCCATGTACTCCCATGTATATCAGATATACACAGAGGAACCAGGTCACATTACCTCTGACTCTTTATAATACCAGATAATACTTAACATTACCAGATATTAATAAGCATTGTCAATATTTACATGATAACAAAATAAGACCATAAAATTACTTACCATAAATAACTTGGGCGTTGACGTCACTCTTGGCATCGATTAGTATATTAATACACTCTATACAACACACAAAGGTAGCAGCATGTAGTGGTGTGGCATCTGTAGATAATATATGATTTTAAAACAAAGAGGGAAAAATTATGAATATTATCAAAAGTTTCAGTTATTAATGTTTTAAATAAAGGGCTAAAATAGAATCAGGTTTGTATCCACACTGGAACACAAATAATTCTTTATTGATGTAAAGATTTTTGGTATTATTTTAAATGTACTGCATTATAGTGTTGGGGTCTTGGAACTATATAAAGAATAGGATCAATCGTGTGCAAACATGTTCCGTTTTCTCTTTACTCTTAGCAGGTCACCATCAGTTAACTGTCCTCAGGCAGCCCACGATCAGGTTACCTGACCTCAGTCACTACCATCAGGTTACCTGACCTCAGGCAGCCCACGATCAGGTTACCTGACCTCAGGCAGTCCACCATCAGGTTACCTGTCCTCAGGCAGTCCACCATCAGGTTACCTGTCCTTAGTCAGTCCACCATCAGGATGCCTGACCTCAGGCAGTCCACCATCAGGTTACCTGTCCTCAGGCAGCCCACGATCAGGTTACCTGTCCTCAGGCAGTCCACCATCAGGTTACCTGTCCTCAGGCAGTCCACCATCAGGTTACCTGTCCTCAGGCAGTCCACCATCAGGTTACCTGTCCTCAGGCAGTCCACCATCAGGTTACCTGTACTCAGGCAGTCCACCATCAGGTTACCTGTCCTCAGGCAGTCCACCATCAGGTTACCTGTCCTCAGGCAGTCCACCATCAGGTTACCTGTACTCAGGCTGTCCACCACCAGGTTACCTGTCCTCAGGCAGTCCACCATCAGGTTACCTGTCCTCAGGCAGTCCACCATCAGGTTACCTGTCCTCAGGCAGTCCACCATCAGGTTACCTGTCCTCAGGCAGTCCACCATCAGGTTACTTGTCCTCAGGCAGCCCACCATCAGGTTACCTGTCCTCAGGCAGTCCACCATCAGGTTACCTGTCCTCAGGCAGTCCACCATCAGGTTACCTGTCCTTAGTCAGTCCACCATCAGGTTACCTGTCCTCAGGCAGTCCACCATCAGGTTACCTGTCCTCAGGCAGTCCACCATCAGGTTACCTGTCCTCAGGCAGTCCACCATCAGGTTACCTGTCCTCAGGCAGTCCACCATCAGGTTACTTGTCCTCAGGCAGCCCACCATCAGGTTACCTGTCCTCAGGCAGTCCACCATCAGGTTACCTAATCTCATGCAGTGCACCATCAGGTTACCTGTCCTTAGTCAGCCCACCATCAGGTTACCTGACCTCAGTCACTACCATCAGGTTACCTGACCTCAGGCA